AAGCGGTACCCACAACGCGGTACTCACACTTGCATATGATTTGGTTTTCGTCAGGGTAATTGTATTTGTGGGCTCAAACTTGACCCCCTTATGTAAACGCTGGGAGGGTGGGGTGGTGGTGGTGGTGGTGGGGGGGGGGGGATGCTATTTGTTATGATTTCCAGATATCGCTGGCGTTCGATGCTTTTTTGTTGTGTATTTTGATGGTTGTGTTTTTTTTGATTGGGTTTTGTTGTTTGTGGTTATTTTTTTGTATTTTTTGTTGTTGTTTTTAATGTTCAGCTCAGTTTGCGTTGTTTAAAGGGTTATCATGCGTTTTCGATGTGTGTTTGTGTTTTTGTTGGTTTTTCAAAGTTTTGGGTGTTTTTTTCCACTTGTTTTGGAGCTTTTCATGCGTTTCAAGGAATTCTGGTATTTTCATGTTTGTTTTTTCAAGTTTTCTGTGGTTTTCAATTGTTCTTGTGTTTTTTCGAAGCTCTTCAAGGAATTCTGATAATTATTTTTAATTTATTTTTTCTACGCTTTTCATTAGTTTTGGTGCTTTTGCCAAGCTTTTCCAGGAAATTTGCTGATTTTGCATGTTTGATGTTTTTTTGTATTTTTCAATAGTTTTTGCGTTTTTCAAAGCTTTTCAAAAACGTTTTGCGTTTTTTGTGTATATATTTTTATGTTTTATGTTGTTCTATGTTTTTCAATGGTTTTTGGGGCTGTTCAATGAAATTTCATATTTTCTTTGTTTTTTTTGGCTTTTTCTACGTTTTTCAATGGTTTTTTGTTTTTTTTTCATGTTTTGCACAGAAATTTTGTATTTTTTTGTTTTTTTCTATGTTTTTCTGCCTTTGTGCAACAAAATGATATTTTTCCGTTTTTTTTGATTTTTGGTCGGTGGGTGGTCGGTAGGTGGTCGGTGGAGGTCGGTGGGTGGTCGGTGGGTGGTCGGTGGAGGTCGGTGGGTGGTCGGTGGAGGTCGGTGGGTGGTCGGTGGAGGTCGGTGGGTGGTCGGTGGAGGTCGGTGGGCGGCCGATTTCGTGAGCAACGCTAAAAAAACACATTTTTGCTTCAAAAACAAAAAAACATTTGAAAAAATACAAAAAAACATGAAACACGCAGAAAATCCTGAACAAAAACCAAAAATATTTAAACTTTCCTTGAAACGCTTGAAAAATCACAGAACTATCGAAAAAAAAAAACACAGAACACCGCAAAACAACAGTTTTTTTTTATTTATATTTAAAAACACACACACACACACACACACACACACACACACACACACACACACACACACACACACACACACACACACACACACAAAAACCATGGAAAACCACAACAAAACATGAAACTATTTAAAAAATGTTGTTGAAACGCTTGAAGACCACAAAAAACTATTGAAAACACAAAAAAAAATGAAAAACAAGAAAAAGCAATAAACTTTCCTCGGCACACTTGGGAGCAACACAAAAATTATGGGAAACGCAGAAAAAACGTTTAAGAAAACCAGAAGAAAACAATTTTCCTTGACACGCCAAACAACACCACAAAAAACAATTGAGAAACACAGCAAAACCAAAAAAACAACGCAACAACTAAAACTATTATTTTTAGCTAAAACAATATAAACCACACACAACTATAAGCACACGCCACAGTTCTGTGGAAAAAAAACGAGAATACACGAACGCGTAAAACAAAACGCAGTTTGTTCGGAACAGAACAACAAAACCACAATATTTATAAACATAACAGCTTTTCCTTGCACAACAAAGGAAACAAACAACAAAAACCCAGCAAGATCATAAACCATGGCGTTCCCGGGTTTG